TTTGACATTTTATGGCCTTTTCTATATAACATGATGTTGAGATTGGGTTTTGATGAAAGATTTGTCACTTTTATAATGGTTGTGTTATATTTGTTATATATGCATCATTAATTAATGGCAGGTACAATTTACCTACAAAGAGATATCTAACAAAGAGACCTTTTGTCCACTTACCTATTTATTTTATGTACAAAAAATATTTTTGATATTGAGAAAAGAATAATAGGAGGTTATTATAGGTGGCATAACAAAATTTGTCAAGATGCTCCATCCGTTAGCCACCTATTATTTGTTAAAGATAGTATTGTATTCGGGAAGGTAAAGATTAATGAAGAGACATAAATTAAAAGAATTTTGCAAGTATATAAGGTTATCTTTAAAACAGGAATTTAATTTACAAATAGTGGCAATAAATTTTTTTAAGGGTGTGGGGAGACAAATGAAACATAATTTGATAACTATGGTGGGAGTAACATAGGTGGACTTCCATTCAAAATATTTGGGCCTCCCAATAGTAATTGGAAGATCTTTGAGGCAATTCTTAAATGCATAATAAACAGAACGGTTGAGAGAGTGCAGAGTTAAAAAATGTCAACTTTGTCGAAGGTAGGAAAAGAAACATGTTAAAGTCAGTCGCCCAAGCAATTCCAAATTCTATTATGAGAATGTTTCTACTACTAAAATCTATTTGTATGTCAGATGGAAAAAAATTTGTGTGTATATGGAGAAAAGAAAGGCGAAGAAAAAATTTGTTGGTTACCTTAGTCAAAGCTGTGTGGACTAAAACAGGAAGGAGGATTAGATTTCAAAATTTTCATAACTTTAATATAGCCATATTGGCTAAACAAGTATTGAGATTGTTACAAAACTAAAATTTACTTTTACATCAAATATTAAATACAAAATATTTTCAATATGTGAAATTTATATAAGCATAAGTGTGGTTCAGCCCTAATTATTCTTGGGAGAAGCATACTAATAGGAAGATAATTATTAGAAAAGGGTTTGTGATGGCGGATTGGTAACAACAATAAAATTGACATATGAGAAGATAAATGGGTATTTAGCCCACCTGTTCACAATGTTTGGTCTCAAACCTTCATCCAATG